AGCGTGCAGTGGGGAGTGTCTTGAGGGGTCCGCGGGGCCGGCAGCAAGACCACCTACCCAAGATGCCGCAGCTTGGCTGGGGCCTTGGCTGCCCTTTTCAAGCCGCCGCCGCTGGTTTCGTTGTCATGAACGCCTCCGCGTGGGCGCGCCATGACGCCTGCAGGGCCCACCACGGCACCGCTCTGCCCGCCCGCCCCTCCCGCCGTAGTGGTCGCTCCAGGGCGAGGACAAGCTTTCGGACATCAAGTCCATGGCGGCCGCGGTGCTGCAGGCGCCGCTGCTGCTGCCGCCGCTGCCGGCGTCAAAAAGCTCCAGCGGGCTGCTGGCGGGCGCGGCGGCCGGCGCGGCGTCGGTGTCTGCGGTCGTGCCGGGCAGGTGGGGGTGCCGCAGCGGTAGCAGAAAGACCGATAGGTCCATGTATACAGACGGCTTGCCAGGCAGGGGCAGCCTGATGAGTAGGGGGGTGGCTGTTGCAAGACCGGCAACCCCAGCTCGCGGCAAGCTGCTACTCCGAGGGTGGCTGCCTCGATATTTGCTCTCGCAATTATCACGCCGTCGAACAAGCGCTTGGCTTGCCTTGGTTTGCCTCGCGTGCGACTCACCGTTGCCCCCCCTCACCCAGGGTGTCTGGGGTCCTGGGCTTCCCCGCGCGGCGCGAGATCGGGGACTGCTACATCTGGGGCGGCTGGAGCGGCGAGGACGGGCGGCTGTCCGGCGGCAGCGCGCGCCCCGTGCTGCTGCACCACACGCACACGCTGGACGTCATACAGGTTGGCGCTGCGTTGGCAGGGGTTTCCCAGAGGGCCCGCTGACGTCATGCAGGCTGGGCCCGCACTCCTCCAGGAGCTGCGCACTGTGCTGCAGCGGCTGGCTGCGATGATCGTGGTAAGGCCTGGCGCCTTCCACAAAACGCGCCTGCTGTGCCGCTCGCATGCGTGCTGCTCACACGCGCTCGCTGTGCCGCTCACACGCGCCTGCCGTGCTGCTCGCGGCGCAGGTGGCAGCCAGCGGCGCGCCCGGCGCGCAGCACGCGGCGCTGCTGACACGCGGCGGGGAGGTGTACACCTGGGGCAGTGGCGCCGGCGGGAAGCTGGGGCACGGCACCAGCAGCAGCGTCGCCGCGCCGCAGCAGGTGTGTGGGCGGGGCTCGGCAGCTGTCGGCTGCTGGCGCCGACTGGCGCCACGCCGGCACACCCGTTGTGAGGCAAGGAAGTTGGCTGTCACGGGAGTTTGCATGTCGGCCCCGGCCCCCGTTGCAGCTGCGCTGAAGCCGCGCCGCCGCGCCACGCCGCCCCCCCCCCCCCCCCCCC